TCAGACCACGGAAGAGAGGATAGTACAGTAACAGACAAGACATCCAGACAGCCACTTCATAATTAACTAAGTGCAATTTCACTCCTGAGAATTTCTCATCTTTGTAGTAAATTTCAACAGCAAATTCTCTTTCATGAATGGAGATTAGATAGAAAAAAGATGCAGAATTTCACCCCCCCTGCATGGCATGAATATTTATAGTGTAACTAAGCCGGGGCCTATAAATGCTTGCAAAGCTGATAGCCCCATCTACTTACTTATTTACCACCAGCTGTGAGCAATTTCTCAGTGGTTTACAATCATATAATATATACACATAAAAGCAGCTATACATACAGAAATAAGAACCAGGGTACTATATAATCACATAACTATTAGATCTGAAATGCCCTGTAGAAGGGTGCAGTTTTCAAAGTCCTTCTAAATGATGCAAAGTAGGTGAAATCAAAATTTGCTGAGAAGAGGCTTTTTCATAAGATCAGTCCAGAACAATAAAGTACTCCCTTCAGACACTCCCCGGGTCATGGGGTACCCTTGGGATAATTGTATTGGATAGATGGGTTCTGTCTGGAAAAGGTGGTGCTGGGAGCCAAACCAGCTCTTTAAATTATATTCAGAAGCCTGCTGGAAACCAATGCATTATGTGACTCTAATGACTCTCACCTGCCCACATGTGGTCCGCAGTATTCAACCACAACTGCAGTTTTTGGATGGTTTTCAAAGACAGACCCCATGAAAAGCAAATGATGATGATAACGATCCGGCTCCAAATAGGACAGTAATTAATTCTTGCTCCAGAAAGGGCAGTGATGGCTAACCTTTTTCCCATCCTGTGCCAAAAGTGGGGGGAGCGCATGCCCATACCCATAATTCTATGTGCATGACCCCTTGCGTGCATGACTCCTACCCTCCTCCCACTTTTGACATGCAATGGACCCGTTTTTTGCCCTTCCCAGGCTCCAGAGGCTTTCTAGGAGACTTGGGAGGGCAAAAATGGCCTCCCCCCCAGAGGCTTCAGGAGGTTTTCCTGAAGCCTCTGGAGGCTGAAAAACAGACCTATGGGCAACATGGAAGTTCAGGCACAGACTTCTGGCTTGCCTGTAGGGCCGTTTTTCGCCCTTCTGAGCCTTCAGGAGACAGCCCAACGTGCAAACTGGAAATCCATTCCTGTACTTCCAGTTGGTGCATTGGGTTGTTTTTCGCCCTCTGGAAGCTTCAGGGAAGCCTCTGGAGGACGAAAAATGGCAAAAAATGAAGGCCAAAGTGAGCTGGAGCTGACAAGGCAATGCCTCACATGCCCCAACAAATGGCTCCACGTGCCACAAGTTCACCATCATGGAGGTAGGGCTATGATTGTTGCATAAGCTTTTGCCAAATGCTCTCCTAGCCACAGTCTTGCTGCAGTTGTAACTCCAAAAGAATTCCCAAGTTGCAGACCTGCTTCTTTGTAGGCGTGCCACCTCATTTATGGTTAAAATTAGAGTTGACAGAGAACCAAGTGGTTTCTAAACAGCACTTAGCAACTCTATATTTCTAGAGTCAATCTCAGTATTAGTTTTGTCCCATTTAAGTCCATGTAGACGCTAGACACTAGGTCAAGAGTTTCATTGGATCTCTAGCCTGGTTTGGAATAAAGATATACAGGTGTATGATGAAGTGTCATACACCAACATATGACCTCCTCTGATAGTAAACAACAGGTGAGGACAAACCAAATGCCAAGGTACATTGCAAGGGAGTGCTCACCTGTCCAGTCTCTCATTTCCATCAGCTCTAATTGGAAATGCACACCTAGAAGAATGGAACCACGGCAGAACAGTGCCTCTGATTTCCATCACTTATGGATTGCAAGACACCGTAATTCATGATTCAGAAATTCAAAAGGACTAGAAGGGCATTTAAGATCCAGGAAAAGTCATCCACCAGATCATTTTTTTTCTGTCCCATCTCTAGCCATGAATTTTGACTGAAGACAGTCCAAGTGATCCTGCTTTCTAGGGCATTCGGTAACTTAGAACCATATCTTGAAGATAATGGCATAAAGCAGCCGAGTTCAGAGAAGGCTTCTTAAGAAAGGGCCACAACAACGCTTCCTTCTGAGTGCTGCTGACTACTTCTTTGTATTCATATCACCCTACTACCCCAGAAATAACCAAGAGGTCATAGATCCAACCCACATGTGGCAGAACATACCCTTACCATAGCATTCATTGAAGCCAAAATGAATTTTAGAACAGTGGCCCCCAACCTTTTGAGCACCAGGGACCAGTTTGGTGGGAAAAGGTTTTTCCGTGGACTGGAGGCATGGTTTTGTGTGCTGCCTGCATAGTGCAGATAGGACATCACTTGTTTGCATGGACCAGTTGCTGGCATGCCATGGACTGGTTCCAGTCCATGGACTGGGGGTTGGGGACCCTTATTCTAGAACACTGTGCAAAAAAGTGATCACTTCAGAGGAAGGGGATTATTTGGACACCTTTCAAATACTACTCATGAAGAATCTTGAGTGATTAGAAGTCCATTGCTACTAGGTTCTCACCAAGAACTCCCAATGAGAGAAATCGAGCAAGGCAGGTAAGGAAGAAAGAGGGAAATTTTTAGGAAAGATATTTGGAATTGTTTAAAAAGGACTCAAACAATTATTGTAGCTTATGCTCACTTAATACAATACACCAAATTGGATAACATCAGGAATTGCAATTATGGAAATAGAAATAACACTGCATTAGATGCTACTAGATGACATTAGTGTTTCGGTCCATGTAAATGATTTACTAATGGAATGAGTGGAGTATGAGTTGCCAATATTTACAAAGTTTGTGAATTTCCTTTAAAATGTAAAAAGTAGAAATGTTTGCTTTGAATGTTTAGTTACACCTGACCAATAAGTGCTATCAATTCTATCTGTGATCAATAGCAGATTCAGCCCATGGAAATTGTCTATGTTGGGCAGTTGGACTAGAACCACACTTTATTAATAAATTCTATAGAAACAAATCATGAAGTCCTAACTGTGAAGTCCTTTCCCTTCCTCCATAATCCAGGTAATTAGGGCAGAGCCAATTTGAGGGTTTTTGTTGTTTTTGTTGTTGTTATTGTTCCACATTTTCTGGGCTTAAAGCCTGTTTTTTTAACTGTTGCTGCGTAGGTTTCCCAAGGTTATCTCTGTGGCTTTCTACACACATCGCCAGAGAATAAAATGAATGAAATATGAATCTGATATATGTAAAATCCCAGGTTGTATTCCTGGCATATTCAGGTAAGACTAAGGAGGTCTTCTACCTGCAACTTTATAAATCCATTGCTAATCCATATGGAAATAAGCTCTATAGGGTAATGCCATAGCTCATTAGTAAAACATAGGGTACTTTTTAGGGATGCAACTTGTAAAACAAGGGCTCTGGCTTTATAATTTGAGGAACAATCACTCAGAAATTAAGTAATAGTATGTGAATATTGTGTGAATATGAAGTAGGAGCCAAGTAAATGTCTCTACTAAATGTAGATTATGTATACTATTAGGTTTCAACATAAAGGGAAAAGCTCTAGGGATAAATTCAGCTCATGTTCTTGTGAAATTCAAACATATTTCATAGGCATATGGGAAACGGCAATATAAGCCATCTTGTTCTATGTCTATGTGTTAAAGAGAGAAAAAGAGAGCTCTATAATGCAGTAACATGATATTGGAGTAACATGATATTGTATTTCATTCCTTTTAATCAGAGTTGTGATTTATTATTAAATAACAGTTCAACTCACTGGTCTATATGTTCTCCAATACTTGGACATATTTGTGCAAATATATCTCTTTTCTGTTCTGTTTTTACAAGAATCACTTTTACATATAATTTCTTTCAGGTAACAAACATTGCCCAAAATTTACACAAGGCTATTCAATATAGGGAAATAGTCTATAATAATATTTAACTACTCTGTTTTTCATCACTTGTTGCAATGTTTTTTCTAGTTTACAGTATAAAAATCTTTCGGAAAAAACCAGGCGATTAATTTAAGATCACAGTTCTGCTTCCATAAGCATGCTCTGTGGAATGTAAAATGGTTGTGCTTTAATAATGCTTTTACAGTTATTATAGCAAGTGAAGAATTAAATATTAAATATTGTGCCTGCTTTTTATGGTACACAGAAAGATATGTGAGTATTTCTTTCTACTAAAACTCCAATTTTAAATTCTGACTATGGGCTTAAACTTTCCTGGCAGATTTGTTCCTGAAAAGAAAAATTAATTGTACTAGATCAAAAATGGAATAAGGAATCTAGAAAAAAACTGGGTGATTTTACAGAAGCTCATTTGCTATATATTTCAAATTCTTTGATTTTTAGAAATCTCATGTAGCATTCATTAATAATATGTTCACTTCTAAGGCACAATTTACACAATTATTATGTGTTTCCCCAGGGAGATCTTCTTGAAATAAAAAGCCTTACTGATTTTGAAATCAGTGAAATATCTTATCTATTTATTTATCAATTTATACATTCATATTTTAATACTTTTCTATTGATAATTCATGTAAATAAAATGAATAAATAAGGTTTTGGATAAAGAAGAAAACACTGGAACAACATATCTACAATTAAGTATTGTAGTATAATTCTAAATTTGGGAATTATTCCAATGAATACAGACTAAGCCTTGTTGCTCCATCAAATAGTACAACTGCACAACTGGAGTTTCAGTTTTTAATAAAAAGATGGTAGCTTGCTCAATCATACACCTTGCATTTATTCCTAAATGCTTCTCAAGACACATTGAAATTTTTGAAATTCTGATGCTCTCATCCAAAGCTATAGCTTGCAAATGTTCTGTAAAGCACCACATGATTTTGTGTCCTCTAGATTTACACAGTTCTAGAGATCATTGTTTAAAAATGATATGTGGTTCAAACTAAATGTACCTAAAAAGAATATTGCAATTTTTGTATTCTCTATGAGATACCTCATTTAAGAAGACAATGAAAGATAATTGGATACTTACTGCAAAAAAGATTTGTAGAGCACTGTGAGCCACTTCTATATATTGATATTCAAGAACGCACCCTGACACAGTGATGTAGCGATGGTCTTCTGGGGCCCAATCTGGGGCTGGAGTCACAGATGTCACTGTGCAGCCTGGGCCATTTTCCATCCACCAAGACCGGTGCATTGAAATATTGAAGGTCAGAATAAGATCTGTTTCCTGTCAAAGGGAAAAGTCAATAAGCAATCAGCTGAAGTTTAGTTTGAACAATGGTTTTACTTTTTCAAAAAAAATTAAAATGATCTCCACTCAGTTTTAAAATTTGCAACTAGACTTGTAATTTGTGACATAGTGTTTCAGTTTTTATGATATCATTCAGCTTCCACAAATAAGAGAGATGGTGCTGTCTCCTGTATATCCAGTGACAATGAAGACTGGCGACAGAAGGCCACAATGGGCTTAAAGAAGCAACCTGTGAAAAGGAATCCAAATGTTCAGCCAAGCAAGGAAATGAAACCTTTTGTGTGAAATGGCTGCTCAGAATCCAATCATCCCCACAGATTGTTCTTACAGTTCCATTAATTTTTATTATCAATATTGAGCTATCTAATGAAGATTTTGAAACTAAAGACACTAAGGAAGAGAACATCAGAGAAATAGCAAGGGGGAAGTCACTGAACACAAAAGCAACCATTGATGGTCATCTCAAGTTTGTCAAACTTTGGGAGGAATGTTCAATGGGCAAATGAGTCAAAAGTAAAATATTGGGACTTTGTAAACGTTATGTCTGATGGGAGAGAACCATTACATTCCACAATAAGAACTTGATATTAACCATTGAATATGAAGGTGACAATATCATGGTTTGGAAATTCAGGTAGTCTTTGACTTACAAACACAGTTGAGCCCAAAATTTCTATTGCTAAGTGAATTTGCCCATTTATGACCTTTCTTGTCACAGTTGTTAAACGATTCACTGTAGTTGTTAAGTTAGTAACTCAATTGTTAAATAAGTCTGGCTTCCCCACTGACTTTCTTATCAGAAGGATAATGTAGCCATAGAGATGAGTCAGTTACCAAGCATCTGAATTTTGATCATGTGACGGTGGGGATGATGCTATGGTTGTAAGTATGAAAAATGGTCACTGGTCATTTTTTTTCAGTGCAGTTGTAACTTTGAACTGTCACTAAATGAACTAAATGAGTCAAGGATTTTGTATTTTGTGGCTGAAGTAAGCAGAAATTTCTGTTTTACATCAGGCCATCATCCATCCCTTAGCACAAGACATGGTATGTATCATGTTTCGAAATGGCCAAATGAATGTTAGACTGAAACTGCATAGAATGTTGTGGCACTATATGATTTCACTGGGAAGCCCTCAGATATTCCTGAAGTCAGCATGAAGGAATGAGCCAAAAGGCCTACAAAGGAGGTTGATCACCAAGTGGAGGAAGAATTTGGTTGCAGTTATTGCCACTGATATTACTTGAAATGGATGCTTCCTTTTTTACATTCGTGCCAGTCTCATACTGACTCGATTATTTTGCTTATGAAATAAATGAAACAAGCACTAAACCTTGGTGTTATTTGTTCATTCAATTTATTATTTATTATTGCTCACTTGAAGCTCCAGTACAGAGTTATACAAAAATTCAGAAGATCAAAAAGACGCAAATATATTTTCAGAGAACTGTAAATTGGAATAGCCAGCTAATTGCCATATATTTGATTGTTCTCATATATTCAAAGCCTGTAAATAACCAATAAGGCAATCTATACATTGTATTCAGGAGTGGGCTTCAAAAATTGCAGCAGGCGTGGGCGTGGCCATGGTGGGCATGCCTAATCGGCCCCCCTGCACCACAGCAGGGAGGGTAAGCCTCTGCGCGGGCCCTGCAGTTATCTGGCATGATGAACGGGCTGTGTGGAGACTCCTGGAGGGGTGGGACAGGAGGGGCAGAGTGGGATGGGCATGGCCAGCCAGGGGGGCATTTGGGGGTTCACCGAACTGGGCAGAATCCTAGCTAGAGGATCACCCAAATCCATGCGAACCCCTAGCAGTCCACCCCTGATTTTATTCTTTATATAGCTATACTGTATTATGGTTTAATGTGGTGATAAACTACTGCATAAATACTATAATTATATATGATTTTTATATAAAGCTCTTAACTAAATACCTTATCAAAATTTCTTAAGAAATTACAAGGTTAAGGAAGAGGAACGGGAGAGTCTACAGGAGGTTGGGGTAAATAACAAAGAAGTAAGAGACGAGAATAAAATATAGATAGAATGACTTACACTATTTAAGCATAGATAAAGATGGGGGGCTGAGCTCAACACAAAGAGTTCTTTTTCTTTTTTTCCTTTTTCTTTTTTCTCTTTTCTTTTTTCTTTTCTTTCTTTTTTCTTGTTTTTCTTTCCTTTAATATATTACTTTTATTTTTAATCCATACGTACACAAGATACTTTAGACAGAAGGCAGTGCCAGGTGTGGGCCCTGGGAAGTCGGGAGGATTAGGGATGGGGATTTATGGGGGGTGGGTGGGTGGGTGTTAACATAGTCTCAATAAGAACAAGAATGTACTTATATACGGTTGTTGTTTTTTCTTGTTTTTTTTCTCTTTTCTTTCTTTATATTTTTTTTCCCTTGGTTTATTTTACTTTTTATCAGATTAAACAACACTTGAATAAAGGCATACACCAAGGAGGGAGGTAGAGGGAAAGAAGAGGGAGGAGTAAGGAAGGAGTAAGGGGAATGTAAGGAGGGCATGTTGGGAGTAAGGGGAGAAGGAAGGTTTGAGGGGAAAGGGAAGTAGGAGGGGAGTGTTAGAGGGAGAAAGGAAAGTTGGAGGGGGTAGATGGGGTGTATGGAGGATGGAAGTGTCAGGTGGGGTTGTGAATGATGAGTTGTGTTTTCTTTTTTATTTTGTTTTATTTTTTTATCTTTTTTTTTCTTATAGCAAATACCCTGTATATAAGTGATTGTAAAATGGAATGTGAAAATGAATAAAATATATTTTAAAAAAAAATTTCTTAAGAAATGACAATCATCCAGTGAGGTCTTCTTTATACTTTAGCTTATAAGTGACTAAAGAATAAGAATATTAATAAAAGAAACCACACAATTATACTATCACAATGGAGAAATACAAAGTAGAATACACATAGTCCTAGTTTAGTAACCACAGTTGAGACTGGCAGTTTGTGAATGAGGCAAAGCAATCACTAAGAGATACTGCAACTGCACTTATGATCTTATGTCAGCTTTCTGTTTGCTTTACAGACTTGCAGATGATGAAAATATTAGGATTGGTCATACAATTACTGTTTCATCACTGAAAATCTGTAGAGATTCTTAGACATCTAGTTCATGGTTGTCCCAAAGGTGCTTTTTCAGAAGGCAACTGGACTTTGTTTTTTCTTTGAAGACATTTCGCTTCTCATCCAAGAAGTTTCTTCAGCTCTGACAGGATAGTGGTGAATGGAAGGATTTATATTCCTCGCAGACACCTGATCATTTGTATCCTTTTAGAGGGTCATTGAAGCACTTGGAGATTTATCTGTGTCCTTAGGGTCACTTGGGTAGCGCTCCTGGTTCCTGTAGTCTGCAGGTTTTTCTGTGGATATCCATTTCTACTCCCACACCATTCAAAGGATGTTCATCCCCAATTGGTTAGCTAAAAGTCTGTAGAAGTAAAAGTCTGTTTCATCGCTGATAGAATTCCGAATGGTCTTTAATAAGGGAGCTGCTAAACAAGGACTACCTGTACTTCAAAAATTTGCATTGTCATTAAAGTATGTCTATGTATGTATGAATAATTTATAGTAGATTTAGAGGTGAATTTTAATGTGAACATTTTTGCAGGTGACACCAGGTTATTTTGGACTTAAGTATTACAGATCAATATTCTCTAGGAAGATCAGAACTGACTGACCAAAAAAAAAACAAAAAACCTTGAGATCATAAGGTGATGAAAAATTCCAATTTATTCCATGCTAGACATCATACTGGTGTGGTGAGTATATTTTAGCTACAAAGAAGTGTTCTATTATTCTATATTGTTATACTGAGTATACGTACGTAGAGAGATAGAGATAGAAAGAAAGAGAGAGAGTAAGTGTAAATAGGTAAATAACCCTTTAGAGATCACAACTACAGAGAAAACTATACTTTTCAACAGATGACACGAAAATAAAACTATGAAGACTACTTCCTTTTTCCTCTCATTATTTTTGGTTACAATCAGTCAAACTCTTTTAATTTTAATTAAATTTAATGTGAAAATAATGCTGTTGTGTTTTAATTGAAATTAAGTATTTGGCAGAATGACGTTTAAATACCATTGGGATTCAGGTTGATATATGTTCCATTTGAAGACACCTGAGGCAGAAAGAGAAACCTCTCCCCTTGTTATCTTCCTTAAAATCCACAAAATAAAAATCTTTTACCTTGGGAGAGGGGAAGCAAAAATCAAATCTACTGTAATGAAATCGTAAACTACTGAATTCCTGGCCTACTTCATATTCTGTTCTAGAGGGTTAACAAGGCAGAAGGCTAACTGCTAGTTATGATGATAAGTATAGAAAAATATAGGTTGGATAAACTACGGTTTTGCTCCAGAACTTTCATGAAGTCAGTCAAATTTCTATATGATTGTAAGATTGAATGCAGTTCAGCAGTATTATAGAGCAGTTGTATGCATATCTACTAAGATATTAGTCCTAACTCTAACCAAGATGTGCAATGCACTCTTAATAGTCTGGTAAGAGATATGGTTCGACAGCTGAGCAAAGAAAATCTGTCACAAACAGTGCTACACTTAAATTATTTAAATTATCTACCTCTATTATCTAAACAAAATCTAAACACACCAAACATGGTCATTGGGTGCTTGGCTCCATGCACTTCACATCTGTGTCAGTCTATATGTGAAATAACAACCAAGATGGCCAATTACTCTGTGGTGTTCTGCCTTTTATAAATAATAGATTAAGAGTGAATGAATAATTTATAGAGGCAATGAGGGTATTAACAATAAAATGTGTGCCGCAGAAATCTGTAGTGCATGAGTTCTTTAGGCCTGACTTAGAGTTCAGCCTTGCTGAGACTCAAAGCTGCAAATGGGAAGTTCTTAAGAATGAGGGCAAATATATTTGTCCCAGGATAATGTTGCAAGATCGAATCTGGGTCGGTCACTGAAACCAGAGGTTTACT